GCAGTTCATCACAGTAATGTCTATTTAGGGACTTTTAAATTCAGGGTTACTCGTATGTGGTCTGCATGCATGAGAGATTACTGTATTGAAAATCCCTAGGGGAAGAATGGGGAAGGAACTAGTCCAGGATAGAACACATCCACCTGCTTCAGTGAAACCGCTTAAAATCTGGAGTAGATCAAGTTTCCATCTTAGTCTCCAGTAAAAGTATCATTTGCTGCCCAGTTAGTTTGTGGAGTTAAGTATTTTTCTGTTCCTTCTAAATTAGGTTGTATTTGTAAGAGTATTGTGAAGTGGGGTGTGAGGGAGCCCTAGGGGAAGAACCAAAATTCAACTAGGAAAACACCATTTGGGGCTCTTAACTTTCTGTCATGTAGATAGTGTCTGTGTCTGCCAGAAGAGAGGCAATGCAGTCAGGGTTTTCCTTGTTTTTTCTGAATTAGTGTATCCTTCTGGAATAGCTGTTGGTGCTCAGTTCGGTTTTGGAGGAGGGAGTCTGCTGTGCTCTGTGACTGATTTTTTTGTGTGTGTTTTTCTTCCCCCCTTTTAAGTGCACATTAAGGACATAACTTGCAGCGCTAGATAGCTGAAGGTACACCCGGCCATCACAGGAATGTGTGGTATGAGCTCCCCTCAGAGCACTTCCTAAGCCTTTCTGCTTGCTGATTGGCATGGTCTTTGCTGCCCACCTTTCAACCCTCTCTTTGTGCACAAATTGCTTGATTAGGATAGAGGGAGGTAAACATGAGTTTTGTGAGAAACATCTGTAGTGAAGAGGAAGAATTAGTCCTATTATGACCTAAGGAGGGGTTTTGAATTGGCCTGTATGAGGTGGGAGGTTTAAATCTTTAGAAAGCCCTTTTCAAATGATTGAACATGGCCTGTGTTTCTCTGTAGAATGGATTACTTTGAGTTTTGAACATTATCAGTAAACCTTTGCGCATAAGAAAATGAATATTTTGGATTTGCATTTTTGCTACCAATTATGTTACACTCTGCTAACCGTTTATCAGAATTCAGTCTTATCTCTTTTTTTCTGACTTAAATCTGAAGTTTCACCTTTGGTGTTCCTACTGATAATGTTAGTAGGAATTTCTTCACACAACTAGTGGGGGTTTGTTTATTTCTTTTGAGAATAAACGATGAAGAAACTTGATAGATTTGTGTGGAGAGTATTATACATGTGTGTAGTCGATATATAAAGTTAGTTTTTTAGTCCATGTGCTGTGATTCTATGGTTGTTGTAAACTTTAATGGAGATTTTAGTCTCTTTCAATGTTGTGTGTGGTGTCATGGTCTGGGGACGCTCTTCAACTGCAGATTTTCCTGTCAGATTTCAAATGTCTTTTTGTCACTAGAATGGAGAATAAAACACGTCTGTCTTTTCTAAATGTGCCCTAAGTTTATCTGTGCTTAGATATAAATTGTTTGTGGGTTTTCATGTACTAGCAGTACAGATTAGGGATACTTTTGCTATATCAGTAATATAGCCTGGTAGCTACTGAAAGAGTCCCTTTGTTCAGCAGTGGTATAACACTTTATGGCAAGCCTGTATGGCAACGACCTGGGTGTTAGTAAGAAGTCCAAAGATGGATTTGCTCTGTAGGACTGAGCCCTATTGCTTTTCTCTTAGCTTATAGAGTAAATGAAACATTGCAACTATTTTAAAATATGTTGTGCCTAGAATATAACGAAGATCCTGATGTTGAATTGCTTTTCTATGGCTCTGCAAAACTGCTGATCAGAAAAATTGAGCCAAATGCTTCGCTAACCTGGCAAAGCTGGTATCTTACGTATTTAAGAAGTGTAGTCCAATAGTCCTAACAGGGCAACTGCACTCAAAGGATTTTCAGGATCCATGCTAGAAAAGATGATTTGTGCTAACAATTAAGAGAGCTGACTTCATTTTTATGAGAAGCAATGTAGATGCATGAACTACTGTGATGTGTTTGTAACATCAAAACTGTTTCACAGGCCTAATTAAGTAGACAGCAATGAATTATATCTGAATGATGCTGAAGTTGTGAGTGATGGACTTTGGTTTTCTGTTGGGTGACACTGTTCTTGTATTTTCTCATCTCTGCAGTTTGTCTCTTTATAGCTGTAATAAGGAGCATAATAATAGTGAAAGTATTATCTTTTTCAGAAGAAGGGTATTGCAGACTTTGACTAGAGTTGTGATACTGTTGTTGGATTTTTTTTGACAAGAGTTCAGTGAAGATTTGCAATGCTGTGACTTGTTTAGTGAAACTGTACTATATGAAAGCTGTAATGGAAGGCTGGCCCTGGGACTTTCCCCAGGGTGGCAGACCCAGCTTAGATCCTTTCCCCATACCTTACTTTTACATGGTCTCCTCTCTGCCAGCACCTCTCTTCCTTATTCCAAGACTTGAGTGACAGTGCAAGGCTTTGTTGGAGAATGTGGAGGACAATGTTCAGTCTCTGTTGCTTCCCTTTTCTAGGCAGTGGGCAGGCAACTGAGTGTAAAGGAAAGACAGAAAGGCAGAAGAGCAGTGTGCCAAAGTGCCAGCACAGAAAGTACAGGGCAAGGCACAAAGTTGTTACTGTAGAGGGCACAAAATTAGTATTGTAGGAACTTCAGGATTATCAATACCTGGTAGTCCTGATAGTTATGAACGTTTAATGAGAATTCATCACCAATATTGTAAAGTGAAAAATAGGTATTCTGGTGGGCATTTGAAAGAAGATAATACGTTGAGTTTTATTACTTTCCAGTGGTAGAGCAAGTAATTTCTTAACTTGGTCCCTAATGCTGAAAAAAATGTAAGTGGAAAAAGTATAACCACATTCTTTGCTGCATGTGCTGCACTTGGGCTGAGCCCCTGGGGTGCTTTTGGGGATAATCCAGGACTCCAGATCCTTGGTTAGATATGCTCTGTAGAAATGCTGGAGATGTCCAGCTCTCAGTAACCGTGTAACCAACGTTGTGATGTGCTGTTGGTAGGAATTCAGGGGTGCTAGTGGTGGGTTAGAAGGTACATTTGCAGGTAAAGCATGGCATAAACCAAAAAGAAAAGTAAAGAAAAGGATGAATGCAGAGAGGAGAAAAATGGAAATGAACCTATAATGATTTCTGAGACACAGGTGTTTGCAGTGCTTTTTCAAGCACACGTATGCCTATATTGAATTTGTGTATGTGTATATATGCGTGCAATCCCCTGCAGATTTCTAATGTGCAGTTACCATTTGAGATTTCCAAATAAAAATAAAGCTCATTAATAACCAGCAAAGCATTTGACACAGTCTCCCACAGCATCCTCACGGCTAAATTGAGGAAGTGTGGACTGGATGATCAGGTAGTGAGGTGGACTGCGAACTGGCTGAAGGAGAGAAGCCAGAGAGTTGTAGTCTATGGGGCGGAGTCTAGTTGGAGGCCTGTAACTAGTGGAGTGCCTCAAGGGTCAGTACTGGGACCGGTATTATTTAATATATTCATCAATGATTTAGATGAGGGAATTGAGTGTACTATCAGCAAGTTTGCTGATGACACCAAGCTGGGAGGAGTGGCTGACATGCCAGAAGGCTGTGCTGCCACCCAGCGAGACCTGGACAGGCTGGAGAGTTGGGCAGGGAATAACTTGATGAAATATAACAAGGGGAAGTGTAGAGTCCTGCATCTGGGCAGGAACAACCCCAGGTTCCAGTATAGGTTGGGGAACGGCCTGTTAGAGAGCAGTGTAGGGGAGAGGGACCTGGGGGTCCTAGTGGACGACAGGATGACCATGAGCCAACACTGTGCCCTTGTGGCTAAGAAGGCCAATGGCATCCTGGGGTGTATTAGAAGGGGGGTGGTTAGTAGGTCGAGAGAGGTCCTCCTTCCCCTCTACTCTGCCCTGGTGAGACCCCATCTGGAATATTGTGTCCAGTTCTGGGCCCCTCAGTTCAAGAAGGACAGGGAGCTGCTGGAGAGAGTCCAGCGCAGGGCAACGAAGATGATTAAGGGAGTGGAGCATCTCCCTTATGAGGAAAGACTGAGGGAGCTGGGTCTCTATAGTTTGGAGAAGAGGAGACTGAGGGGTGACCTTATTAGTGTCTATAAATATATAAAGGGGGAGTGTCACGAGGATGGAGCCAGGCTCTACTCAGTGGCAAACAATGATAGGACAAGGGGTAATGGGTACAAACTGGAACACAAGAGGTTCCACTTAAACTTGAGAAGAAACTTCTTCTCAGTGAGGGTGACGGAACACTGGAACAGGCTGCCCAGGGAGGTTGTGGAGTCTCCTTCCCTGGAGACATTCAAAGCCCGCCTGGACACGTTCCTGTGTAACATTATCTAGGTGTTCCTGCTCCGGCAGGGGGATTGGACTAGATGATCTTTTGAGGTCCCTTCCAATCTCTAGCATACTGTGATACTGTGATAACTTTAGAGATTTGTGAACAGTTAAAGTTGCCAACTGTTGTACTAGAAATTCATGAAGGAAGGAATACTTCTCTGGTTTGTGGTTTTGTGGGGTTTTATTTCCGTATCTTTTCATGCCTGGGCTCTTTGTGGAAAAGGGATATAAAGCATATATGTAAAACTTCAAAGATCTGTTATGCAGTAGGTGGTAAGGCAGTGTTTTTGGATGTCCATCTGTTGAATCTGACAGATAAAAAGGGTGGGAGAACAGTAGCTGTGGAATCCAGAAACACACAGGAATCTAGAAGCAAATGTAAACAGATTATTGGAATAAGGGAAAGATTGTCATGCATTTATGTGTAAGAGATCCTCCTTTAAGCCCAGTCTGCACGTGGTACAGATTTGATAAGGCCTTAGAGGTGTATATCTGTAGTTCAGCTCAGGTTTTGGGACTTGAAAGTGCCAGATGCAGTCTCTGATATCAGACAAAACAATATCAGATGTGTACAGGATTTCATATTTTCTTTTTTGTTTTGAAAATTTTTGTGGCATTAAAGGAGTAACTTGTGAGAACTTCTTGCAAAGTCTAAAGAGGTAAAATAAATTGTTCTTTCCTCCCTTTCTTCTTTCACTGTAGGATCCCGTCTCCGCCAGGAGGATTTTCCACCACGGATTGTTGAGCATCCTTCAGATGTCATAGTCTCTAAAGGAGAACCAACAACTTTGAACTGCAAAGCTGAAGGACGGCCAACTCCTACTATTGAGTGGTACAAGGACGGAGAGAGAGTGGAAACAGACAAGGATGATCCACGCTCCCACCGCATGCTGCTGCCCAGCGGATCTTTATTTTTCTTGCGTATCGTGCACGGACGCAGGAGTAAACCTGATGAAGGAAGTTATGTTTGCGTAGCAAGGAACTATCTTGGAGAAGCTGTGAGTCGCAATGCATCCCTGGAAGTGGCATGTGAGTAGTTTTATATGATTAGGATTGCATAAAAGTTTATAAATGCTTTTTATGGTGTCATCCAGCACTTGCACACAGTCAGCAGTCTGGGAGACAACAAACGTAGGTAAGTATGGCATTTTGTCGTTAGTTATCGCTCTTGGTCAAGGCATTTTTACATGCATTTATACAACAGCAGTGACCATATGGAGTATGTGATTTATACTGAAGCAAGGTTCTAGCCAGTGTATAGTCATGATTGACACAAACGTGGACAAGGGCTAATCTTCCTCTGAAGAATAATCTAATTTTTAAATTATGACTGAAGTTGGTTATATTGAAACTAATGTGGAAAAATACCTATCAGTTAATGTAAGGTGCACTGTCTGTTTCTCTTTATCTAGTCATCTGTTACCTCAACAGAAGCAGACAGCTTCTTGGTGACTCACATTCCGTACTGCTGGAAACCTTGATATATGCTCCTCTATCATAAACATGATACAGGCCTCATTCATTATGTGAATGGCAAGTGAAATTGTTGACCGTTTCTCATATCATCCAGAGCAGTCTTACTCTTTATTGATCCTCTTTGTCTTAACAGAGGAGTCGTTATGGCTCTTTCAGAGACCACCTGGCATGCATGATCTGCTTCCAGTAGAGTTAGTGGGGACATTCGTTATATTCACAGAGCAAACAAGCTCATCATACATAAAATGTGTTGCCTTTGTTGTTTTTTTTTTCTGCTTAGATATTTGAGTTGAATAAACACTGATCTTTGTATTCAGAGTATCAACTAAGAGTAGCTGTGTATCTTCACATAGAGGTGTATTTTAGTAAATTTATGAGTGCTCTCCTCTTGCTGGACTTCAGTTCTCCTCACCGAGTTCTTCATCTGGCAGTAGCTTCACTAAAATGTGTTTGACTGAAATAGGGCTTTAGCACAAACTTGCATTGCTTACTTGGTAAGAATGGATTTAAGTACACATCAGAAAGTATGTAAGTTTAAAGGGTGAGAAAAAGAAAAGCACAGAAGTCGTTATTCCTGATGCAGTCTGAATACAGAGTTGTTCATTACCTGTCACTTGGCATAACCTAGATTCAGAATGGTTTCAAACAAAAACTGAAAAGGGTTTTGTCATACACTTAAGGCACAATTAAATGTATATCTTCCAATAAAAGCATCACAGAATGCTATTTAGTTTTGGTAGGTATTTAGGAATTGAGCAAATTTACTGGATTATTTCTGTCTCTGTACATCTGGTTTTAAAACTGTTGACAAATCCTGTGAGAGGGGCATATACAAGTTAAAATCTTTATTGTAATCCTGTTGAGATTGAGACATCTGTCAAAGTTCAGAAGATCATTCAAGTTATACCTTGAGTCCTCGAAGTAAGAGATTAAATTTAAATGTGCTCTGTATTTTGTTGGTTTTCACTGATCTCTGCTACCATTGACTGCTGAGAGACTCTTATTATAATATCCTTAGTCTCTATAGTTGCTGTCCAGAATCATAGAATGGTTTGGGTTGGAAAGGACCAACATCTAATTCCACCACCTTGCCATGGGCAGGGATGCCTCACACTAGACCATGTTACCCAAGGCTCTGTCCAACTTGGCCTTGAACACCGCCAGGGATGGAGCATTTACCACTTCCTTAGGCAACCTTTTCCAATACCTCACGACCCTCACAGTAAAGAACTTCTTCATTATATCTAACCTGAACTTCCCCTGTCTAAGTTTAAGCCCATCTCCCCTTGTCCTATCACTACAGTCCCTAATGAAGAGTCCCTCCCAAGGATCCTTATAGCCCCCCTTCAGATACTGGAAGGCTGCTATGAGGTCTCCACGCAGCCTTCTCTTCTCCAGGCTGAACAGCCCCAACTTTCTCAACCTGTCTTCATATGGGAGGTGCTCCAGTCCCCTGATCATCCTCGTGGCCTCCTCTGGACTTGTTCCGACAGTTCCATGTCTTTTTTATGTTGAGGACACCAGAACTGCAAGTGAGGTCTAACGAGAGCCGAGTGGAGGGGCAGGATCACCTTCTTGAACCTGCTGGTCACGCTCCTTTTGATGCAGCCCAGCACATGGTTAGTTTCTAGGCTGTGAGTGCATACTACTGGCTCATGTTCAGTTTCTTGTCAACCAACACCCCCAAGTCTTTTTCCTTAGGGCTGCTGTGAATCACTTCTGTGCCTGGGATTGCCCTGACCCTAGTGTAGGACCTTGCATTTTGCTTTGTTGAACTTCATGAGGTTGGCATTAGCCATCTCTCAAGCATATCAAGGGCCCTCTCCATGATTCTGCCAGGCACAGAGGTGAGACTGACTGGTATGTAGTTCCCTGGGTCTTCCATTTTCCCCTTCTTGAAAACAGGGGTTATATTTCCCTTTTCCCAGTCATCAAACCACTGTAGCTGGTGGCAGGTCATGCACGAACTGTATGTGAGATAGTAGAAGACTTTAAAAATGCTAAAACTATGTATCATTGTCAGAGCTAATTTAAAGCAGGATCATAGAACTTGAAACTGGAGATTTGAAACTATAGACAAAGTTTTTTCCAACAGCAACATGAACCTGACACTAGATTATTATACTGTTTTCATAGCTTTGAAATTTAACTGAATTCCTCAATTAAATGGTTTAGCAGTCTAAAGCAGGCAATCCTGTTCCACTTCAACAGCGCTTTTCTTTTCTTGAGCCATGCTACGGCTGTGATTACGTCTTCATCAAAGAAAAGAAGTGAATATAATGTTCATTGCCTGTTTACTTAATTTTAGAGTTTCTGCTGGGTTTATGTTTGCTGGTTTTAAACGCACATGGCAGTGTTTGACATGTATCAAAGGCATCCTTTGGAGGATGACAGCAAAGCTACCTGGCTTTCCTTGGTTGTGAGACACCTTTTTATATGATTTTTGGTTCTAAATCAAGTTTCCAAGTGACTTTCAGAGAACAGTTATTTTGAGGCTTTTAACTGTTATCTTAATGTCATTGTTTCTGGCCTGAGGAAGATGGGCAGCTCTGCAGCAGCACATTTGCTCGCTAGGGAAATGAGTTGCTGCTGACAGCCTGTTGTCAGCAGAGAATCCTCATTCACCTGTTCTTAACTGCTGCTGAAAACTGTTGAGTTGCCTGGATAGCGCAGCCCTGTCCATGTGAGCTGTACATGCCATTGTGTCTTGTGCTGTTTGTGATAGTGTTGAAAACTGCTCTTTCCACACTAAATCAAGCTGTTTTCATCACCAGAAAAAGGACGGTTGTCCTTTTCTGACAACAGGGCTTTGGATTGTTATCTGACTGTAGGTGGCCTCAAATGGTGTCATTAGTGACAAACTGCTGTTTTTTACAGGTTTAAAATGCTTGAGTCTGCTGTTTTAGTGAAAGAATCAGTAATTGTTTTACTTTGTTTATTAAATTGCCAGTTACTAGTAATGTGTACTTCCAACTTTTGAATGATTTATGAAGGAAATATTTATTGGGTTTATGTATCTATTAAGTGTGCTTCTGCGTTCAGATGATAAACAGTGTTAATTGTGGTTCATTCTCTTCTATTTCCTTCTCCCTCCCCAATGGGCAGTGGGATTGAAAATGTCCTGATGTATCCCTTTTTATATAAAGACAGAAGAAAAACTCTCCTGTGAAGTTCAGTTGGGGAGTACAGTGATTCAGAACAATGTGTGACCCATCTTGAATGCAGTCATTTTGTCTGTTGAGTTTTTGGAGTGACTTTTTTGCAAGTTGCTGAAGTCCCAAAGCACTTTTTGATGAAGTAGGAGTTAGCATCTTTCCCAAACATGATGAATTTACGTACCAGCCCATCCGAAGCATTTGAGTGTGCTTTTAAATCCATTCCTATTCTGAGCATGTGCATACAGTCAAGGGCAGATAGTTCTGTGCTGATGTATGTCCTCAGAAAAATTTCTCTGTGCCAGTGAAACTGGAGAACTATGATTTGGGAAGTTACTTTAAAAACATCGCTAACATATAGGATGTGCTTTCACAATTTCTTTGCCTTTAGTTTAGAAAGTTTTTATTCCAGAAGACATTTAGGGGGAAAGAGGAGTTTGTATTTGAAGGCACAGTTTCCGCTTGATATGATTGATTCTGTTTCATTATTTTTTTATTTTATTTTTTTTTTTAATTATTTTTTTTACTAGAAGCTTCCTTAAAAGAAAAAAGTAATGTGGCAAATTCTGATGTACTACTTATATGTTTCATGGTTAAATCATTAAAAATAAGCATTCTAGTACCAAAACAACTACAAAGAATCATATTCAAAAGAGTAAAATATCATTCTTTTGATTTTGTGTATTAGAATATTTCCATTGAGCCTGAATAAGGGTTGGCATCAATAGAAATATGTTGATGCTCGGATTTTCTTGGGAGGATTTCAGAAAGGGAAGCAGGCTTGAAATAGTTTGATCTTTCATAAAACTTGTTTTCATATTTGAAAGCCGGAAGTTTTAAAATAAAAAACACAGTTTTCCACCACGTGCGAATTGACACGGTTGGACCTATGTAGTGGAATTTTCCAGTGGGAATATCGGGAGGCACATTTGTAGCTACGATTTCAGTAGCGAGCACCAGGGCGCCACATGTAAGCAAGAGAAAGAGCAACGAGGGTCCTCGCACCGACTCAGGCTGCCTCTGATCTGAGGGTGAGTCAGTGGCAGCCCCCAGAGATAGCAGCTGTAGCCCCAGGTGTTAAATATGTGACAGCAGCTTGATCTATCGACCACTGTTAGAGGGGGCTTTGGCCTAAATGAAAATTCATGAAAAATTGATGAAGTCCCCAGATTATTTTTTTTCCCTTTTCCTTTTCCAGTGCTGTGCCAATGCAGCGAGGAGAGATTAAATGAGGTGTTGAATGCTTTAGTGGCAAGGAGGTTATGGTTCAGAGGTTGAGGGGGGGAAGGGGAAGGAAAAAAAAGAGCCATTTTCTACCTTACTTTCCTTTAAAAGAAAACATGAAGTGTTTCAGATTAGCTGGGGTTTGCTGCCATGTTAATATAAAGCTCAGGAATA